CCCCCCCCCCCCCCCCGCCTCCTCTTTTCCCACCAATTGCTGTCCCAGCCGATTCCATTGCAGCCGATCCCTACAGCCGATCATATTGCAGCTGATCCCATTGCAGCTGATCCCTACAGCCGATCCCATTACAGCTGATCCCCACAGCCAATCCTGTTACAGCCGATCCCGTTACAGCCGATCCCCACAGCCGATCCCGTTGCAGCTGATCCCATTGCAGCCGATCCCTACAGCCGATCCCGTTACAGCCAATCCCTACAGCCGATCCGATTACAGGCGATCCGGTTACAGGCGGTCGGGTGACGGCGGCGGGGCGGGCGATGGTGGCCGTCCCCGAGCTCTCCCCCGAGGCCTCCCGGCTCCTGCTCTCGGCCGCGCTCTCCCTTGCCGCCGTCCTCCTCTTCCTCACCTTCCTCCCCCCCGCCCCGCGGAGGGGGCAGCTGCCAGGTCAGTGCCCACCAGTACCAGCAGGGAGGGCAGACTGGAACCAGTAAGGAGGGCAGACTGGTGCCAGCAAAGAATACAGACTGGCACCAGCAGTGAGGACAGACTGGTACCAGCAGGGAATACAGACTGGAACCAGTAAGGAGGGCAGACTCGTACCAGCAGGGGACTGGAACCGATAAGGAGGAAAAACTGGTGCCAGTAAGAGGGCAGACTGGAACCAGTAAGGAAGGCAGACTGGTACCTGCAGGGAATATAGACTGGAACCAGTAAAGAGGGCAGACTGGTACCAGCAAGGAGAACAGACTGGCACCAGTAGGGAATACAGACTGGCACCAGTAAGGAGGGCAGACTGGCACCAGTAAGGAGGGCAGACCAGGACCCAAAGTGAATACAGACTCTTAGCAGTAGGGAATACAGGCTGGAACCAGTAAGGAGAACAGACCGGGACCAGTAAGGAGAACAGACCGGGACCAGTAAGAACAGACTGGCACCAGTAAGGAGAACAGACTGGCACCATTAAGAACAGACTGGCACCAGTACGGAGAGCAGCCTGGCACCAGTAAGAACAGACTGGCACCAGTAAGGAGGGCAGACTGGTACCAGTAAGGAGGGCAGACCGGCACCGTAAGGGCAGACTGGGACCAGTAAGGAGAACAGACCAGCACCAGTACGGAGGGCAGTCCGGCACCAGTAATGAGGGCAGCCCAGCACCAGTACGGAGGGCAGCCCGGCACCAGTACGGAGGGCAGACTGGCACCAGTACGGAGGGCAGCCCGGCACCTGCAGGCCGGTGCCCCCCCCGTGCCGGGGAGGGGACACCCCCTCCCTCGGGGCCGTCCCTCCCCCGGGTCCCTCGGGGCCGTCCCTCCCCCGGGCCCCATTTAGGAGCCGGCGGGGGGCGGGTGCCAGTGCGCGGGTGCCAGCGGGACGGGGGGACCTCGCCGCTCT